GACAACTGCCTCTTTGGATTTTTCACTTCTTTTCTGTGAAGCCCTCATGTACCTAAAATTAAAAATATTAGCATCAATAAAATATGTGTTTTTTCTTGTTAATTGTTCTTTTGTGAGTTTAATTATCTGACCCCAGTTATGAAAACCTAAATGTGTAGAGAAATAGTTTTTCCTTCCTTACACCTTGTGGTTGAAACAATAGCCACAGGGATCTCATGAGGCAATTTACTCTACCTCATGGATTCTCTGAAAGAATCCTGTAGCCCTCCCAAATGATTGCTGCTATCCGCAGAGTAAACTCTGATAATAAAATAAGTATTGCTTGACAATAGCAATAGTAAACCAAGATTAGAGTTTAGACATTGTTATTTACTTCCGGTCCATTTCTGTCAACTACATAAACAGGCTAAAGTTCAAAAGTCATATCAAAATCTAATTTAGGGCCATAACTTTCAAACCATTAACATCAGAAGGGACCTTGGCAATCATAACAGTCTATAGTGGTTAGAAGTATGACCTTAGAAGACAGATAAATTCATGTTTCATGCCTACCATACATTAGCTGTGTGACTGTAGACTTCCCAGGCATCATTCTCCTCATCTGTACAGCTTACAGTTGATAATAACTAAGATTATGCAAGTAATGCACTTAACACAATGACTACATGTTTTAAATACTCAATAAATATGAACACTGATGCTAACGGTGAAAAAGAGGAAAAGAAGAAGAAATTATCCAACTTGCTATTTTACAAATAAGAAAATTAAGGCCCAGAGAGGAGAGATAACTTGTTAGAGACAATACAGCCTATTATTGCTGAAACAGAGGACAGAGTCAAAAATCTCTTTTTCACTATAAGCTACAATTTATGGTTCTTATTATGTGTCTATTTTGGCATTAGGTGCATTAAGATCAATAAAAAAAGAAATATAAAACATGGTCTTTAATGTCAAGAAATAAGATTTATCTATTGAACACTGGAAGAATATGAAATTTATGCCATGACTAACATTTATTTAATAAATATTATAGAAATTACATATGTCTGCAAAAAGTTAATGAAATTGAGAGAAAAAATTTTATACTATAATGCGAAGTTTAAAAGAAAATAACATTATGTGTAGATATGTAAGAAAGGAATAAAATTACACCAGAATAAAAGACACCAAAATAATGACAATGATTTTTTTCTCTAAGTGGTTTTCTTCTTCATCATGCTTTTAACATATTTTCCATAATTTCTACCAATGCACATATTACTTTTTAGAATTATAAGAAAGATATATTTTGTCTCACCAAGGGAACATTACATATAGTGGGAAAAGCATCTATTCACAATAACAACTATAGCATATATAAAATATCAAGAAATACAATTTTAAAGAAGGTCATTAGACTTATATAAATAAAATGAAATAACCCATAAGACAATATTATATTGTACTACCTCCTATAAAAAATTTTCCATAAAATAAAGCTCTTCTAAACTTCATCTAGAATAATTCAATAACTAGAATAATTAGAAAAAAAATTAAGACTAAAGAAAATACAGATAATTTTTCAGTCATCTGATTGACTAGGCTGAAATAGATGGACAACGCCCAGTGCTGGCACTTTTGGTGGACATGTACTACCTTTCTAAAGGAAAGTTTGGCAGTATGCATGAACATTTCAAGTGGGTATGCTCTCTGGCCTGTTGATTCTCAGTTGTTAGTAATTTAAGGGGATAATCAGACGTGCACAGAAAAGCTTGGAGAAGCATTGTTGTGTTCAGATAGAATAAATGAACAACCTGAAAACAACTAAACATGGCCACCATTAATTAAATTACTCAGTAAATAAATCATAGTTCATTCATACGAAGGAATTTTAAGTAGCCACTAAAAACTGTATGACTCTAAACTCATGGCATTTTGTTAAACAAAAGGGGAGATTACAAAATAACATGTGTAATATGTGACACTTATGTGAAATTACGAACACACTGAGAAATATTTGGGAAAAGGGTCATTTCACAATGTTGAGATTTTGAGTTTGGGGGTTTTGTTTGTTTCTTATTTACACTTTTTATTGTTCATTTTTCCCAATAAGCTTGAATCATGTTCATAATCAGAAATAAACTATAAAGCTCATTTCATGTTGGAACAAAAGTAGTACTTTAAGTGAAGAGACAGAAAAACAATAGAGTGAGTCAATGTAATCTAAGGAGAAAATATGAATCTAAATCTTTGTTTTGGTAAATTACTTCAATCTCCTCCTTTGTCAAAACTTATCAAAGAGTCCAGGGAGTTAGTAAGTTGATTTGTTTACAAATGTTCTTTTTCTTCTCTTGAAACTATAGCAATTTTAATGAGCAGGCAAATGTCCAAAAAGGAAGAAAAATGGCTATCCAACTCTGGGTAAGATATGAAGGTAACTTCTCTAGGGTCTTAAGAGAAGGGAAAATAAGAGAATCTGAACCTAAAGTGAGATTTGGAGTCGGTTTGAGAAAGAATATTCAAGCTCAGAATCCCTGGAGATCTTTCAGCAGAGCTAGACCACTACTTGTCGAAGATGTTTTACAGGAAATAGACTTACCAGAGAAGGCATTGGAATAGATGACCTCTGAGTTACATTCTAATCTAAAACTGACTCTGTTTCTCTGTAGCACTTAAAAAAAAATAGTTCTCTAAGTACCGATCTGGAAACGTGCCTATAGGAGATTCCAAGAAAATGGTGGATTGAATGCAATTCCTCTACTCTCCTTCTCAATTCAAATCATTTTATCTCATTTATATCAAAGGCTGGGACTCTAGTGGCTGAGTGCAAATTTGCAGGAGACCCAGGGAGCACACAATTTATCAGCCTTTGTTAAAATTATATATAAGCTCCAGAGTGTAACTGCTTCTTTGGGAGAATAAAAGGGAAGGCTTTCTTTGTTATGTACTGGAAAGACATATTAAGACTACTATCAGAACAAGGAAATAAAGGTTTACTTCTCTTAAGGAAAAAGAGCGAGAGAGAGAGAGAGAGAAAGCCTTGGGAGAAGGATTTCAACTAAAATGTGGATCTTGGGAATGTTTGACTTACAGAGATCTGTGGACCCAGGGGACACATAAACAGAGGCCCTAGTGTCTACCAGATCTCTCAGGCTCCTCAAAAATATTTTAACAGGTGAGTGAAGCATTCCCACCCTTCAGGCTGAGTGAGTACAGGAGACAGGAAAGCAGGGAGATGTACTCCAGGTTAACAACACCTCAGAGCAGCGTAGCAGTCAGAGACAGAAAGATCAATCAAAACAAACAAAACACAGAACCAACCTTTGATAGATGCTGGAAGAGACAGATGACAATTTGAAAAGGAAAAAAAATAAGAGCTTAGGGATATCTGTGTATACTTCCTTTACCTTCTACTTTCATTCCTCAAGAGGACTTTCCAGAAATAAAAGAAATAGTTTCCAACTAAATGATTTAGGAGATGAATTAAAGGAGAAGATGTTCAAGATCACTGTTGAGACATGATTTAGTGGCCGAAAAAAATTTAGAGTATGAAGAAACACATAAAAAGATAAAAATCACAAGACAAAAAAGATGAAAATGAATTGGAAGAAGACTGAGAGATTCAACATACAAATCAAAAGAGCTCTAGAAGATGTGTTTTTTAATTACTATGGATGCATAATAGTTGTACATATTTGTAGAGTACATGTGATATTTTGATATAAGCATACAATATGAAATGATCAAATCAGGATGATCAGGATATTCATCACTTCAAGGATTTATCATTTCTTAGTGTTAATAACATTTCAGTCCTACTCTTTTAGTTATTTTGAAGTGTACAATAAAGTATTGTTAATAATAAGATCAATTGTGCTACCAAACACTAGATCTTATTCTATTTGAGTGTATTTTTGTACACATTAGCTTTTCCCTCTTTATCCCACCTCTCCCTATTACCTTTCCCAGCCTTTGGTAACCATCATTCTACTCACTATCTCCATGAGTTCAGTTTCTTTTTTAGCTCTCACATTTGAGTGAGAACACACAATATTTGTCTTTCTGTGCCTTGCTTATTTCATGTAACATGTTATCCAGATCTATCCATGTTGCTGCAAATGACAGGATTTCATTTTTTTTTCATGGCTCAATAATATTCCATTGTGGGTATGTACCAAATTTTCTTTATCCCTTCATCTGTTAATGGACATACAGGTTGATTCCATATCTTGGCTCTTGTGACTAGTACTGCAATAAAGATGAGTGTGCAAGTATCTCTTTGATATCCCAGTTTTCTTTCTTTTGGATATATATGAGCAGTGGGATTGCTAGATTGTATGATAGATATAAATAGAGACAACAAGAATTCAAAAAGTTAGAGGGATGGAGTTAAATTGTAGAGTCTTTTGTTTTGTTTTTGTTTTTCTGATTTCAAGCTTATTAAAACTTTAGCAGTACAAATTATCCAGATTGCAGATTATCAAAAGATCAACTCAGTGAAATCCACATTAAAAAAAGGGGCAAACATAAAACAACCCAAAAATAATGAAAAGGAACAACATAAAGAAGATTCACTAGCAAGTCTCTCAAACTTAAAATTCAAAACAGAATGGAAATAAGTTTATATAACTCATTCATCCACTTTTGTCTTCATCTGTTTCAGGGCTTGATTCATGATCACATTTTTTATTTCTTTCATGTACACGGTCAATTTCTTGACCCTTTGATTCTTGGTTTTCTTTTTCCACTGAGGATCTGATCTTCTCATCCTCCTTATTTTTCAATGTGGAGGACTTTAATTCATTGTTCTGACTGCTTTGTTTTATTTTTGAGAAGGGACTTTGATCTATATCAGCCTTTTTTCCCCCTGCTATTATTTGAGGTTATTACGATCACGACTTTTACGGTACATTCTTTTCTCACTGTGTGAACTCTTACTTTTCTGTGTGAACTCTTACTTTCTTGGTTTCTGTATTTTTCTTGGTTTCTGTTTTTACCTTCTTCTCTCTCTGAGCTCCGTGGGTCTCTCCTCCTTCTCCTCCTATCTTTACTTCTTAATCTTCCTGGTGGTGTTCTTCTCCCTCGGCTTTGTGACCATCCTCTTCTCCCGTATTCCTGTTCTCTGAATCTATGGTACTCCTTTCTTCTGCTGCAATCTCTGTCATGGCTTCTTGATCTCACTCTTCTTTTTCTGTCCCTACTTCTGCTTTGCTCTCCTGTTCTGCTATTATAACTGTGTTTATGTTGAGTTACATCACATTCTCTACTCCTGGATTGTGTACATCTATCCTTTTCCTTAGTTTTACTATGATCATGCTCATTACTCTTTGATTCTAACTGTTTAGACTTCTCTTTACTTCTACCCCTTTCCTGATCTTTTCCTTTAGAATCAGGCTGCTTTACTTTTTCTTTAACATTCTCATGATCCCTTCTTTTGCTCCTTGATCTCATCCTCTTTTCTTCATGTCTATTACGTTTTGAATATCCTTCTTTACTCTTTGATTTCTCTTTGCTCTTACTCTTAATTTTAGATTTGTCCCTTTACTTTGTTTGTATTATATTTATCATCTTTTTCTGAATTTCTTCTGATGTCTCTCTTTGCTGTTAGACTTACAGTCTTTAACTTTATTTTCCTTTCTATTTTTTCTGTTTGGACTCTCAAATACATTCCTGTGGTTAGTTATTTTTCTCTCTTTTACTCTAACTGGACTTCTCTGATTTTCTTTTACTTCACTCAGCTCACTCTTATCCCCTTTGACCCATCTTTCACCACTTGATACCCTCATTCTTTGAGCTCTCTGCATCTCTTGCCTCCAATGTGCAGGAGTCTCACTAAGGCTGAAACAATCCCTTGATCTGGATCTGGAAGAGTTTGATAACACCTTGATCCTCTTCCTTTAATTTTCCTGCCAGATCTAGTAACTAAAAGTCATCTCTGGTATGAAGCAGGCTGGGAGTTAGATGGATTACATTCTCTTTCTCTTTCTCCCTCTCTGGCTTTTCCTTTCCATTTCATCAGCTTTAGGAGGGCTTTTCCTCATTAGGAATCTATTTTCAGGTACTCTCTCTTCTGGACAGACAGTAGACTGGGGTTGTGCTTTAAGATTTTCAGCTTCACTCTCACTAGATGCACTCTTCTTGCTTTTCTTTCACTTCTTCTTTTCCTTCTTGTGTTTTTGGGATTTTTTCCGATTTTTTTTTTTTTTCCTTTTCTTTGATTTCTCTTCAGAAGCACTTTCGGAATCACAGGAATCAGGTGAGAACTGAGAATCACTTGAGCTATCTTGGTCACTAGATGAGGAGGAGGAAGAAGATGATGATTTATACCTTTTCTTTTCTTATTTCTTAACTTTAGATTTGGGAATCACCTCTCCACAACTGAGTATCTGTACCTCTGTAAATGCTTTGCTAGCGGCATCCGTCTTGTGGTTTTCTCTCTCTTACAACTTCTTGGCTAGAGATTACTTGTCCAAAAACAACATGACACCCATCTAAATGAGAAGTTGGTTTCATTGTTACGAAGAACTGTAAACCATTTGTATCCTTCCTTCTGTTGGCCGTTGACAAAAGAAATTCTTTGTTGTTTTTGACAGCAAAATTCTTGTCTTCAAAAAATCCTTCTTAGGTAGATTCCCCTCCTCGTCCATTTCCTTCACTGAAGTCACCACCTTAAACCATAAAGTCCTTGACAACTCTGTGAAAGAGACAACTCTTACAATGTAATGGCTCTGAGTTGATTTCTCTGTCCCCTTTTCACCTGTACAAAGACAACTAAACTTCTCACTTGTTTTGGGGCACACATCAGAAAATAATTCAAAGACAACTCTTCCAGCAGGTTGTTAATGACAATGTCAAAAAAAAAAAACCGAGGACATTGAAACTTTATTCCCATGGCTCCAATACTTAATCTTCAAATGAAGAAAAGACCAAAAAAAAAACAAGGACAACTGATCCCTTTGCTCCTGTGCCGGTAGAGTTTCCTCTTCTTTGGTCCAGTCCTTTAAACCGTTTCATATCTACCCCTGCCAGAAAAGGAGCTAAAGCCCGCTAACTGCCTCCCTCCCTGACAGTTCAGTCCTAATTGTTGAGGTGGTTTTTGTTTTTTGTTTAGTTTTCTCTTTATTTGCTTGTTTTTCTATTCTTTGTAATCAGAGTGGTCATCAGTTTAAAACAATTGATTATAAGATGTTATTTGCAAGCCTCACATTAACCACAAAACAAAACCATGTAATACACACAAAATAAAAAGCAAGAAATTAAAACATACTGTCAGAAAAAAATTACTTTTATACAAAGGAAGTCAGGAGAAAAGGATAAAAGAAAGAGAGGATCAACAAAACAACCAGAAAGCAAATAAAATGGCAGTGGCAAGTCCTTGATTATCAATAATAACACTGAATAGAAATGGGGTAAATTATAAATTAATCAAAAGACATGAAGAGGCTGAATAAGTTACACACACACACACAAGACCCGACTATATGCTACCTACAGGAAATTTACTTCATGTATTAAAACAGAGATGGGCTAAAAATAAAGAAATAGAAAAAGACAATTCAGGCAAATGGAAACCGAAAAAAGCAGTATATCTACTTATCAGACAAAGTAGATTTGAAGACAAAAACTGTAAAAAGAGATAAGGTCCTTATATAAAGGGGTCAGTTCATCAAAAGGGATTTAACAATTGTAAGTACATATGTGGAAAATATTTGCATTTGAAATACAAATAAAAGGAGTCTCAGAAAGGGAAGAAAGGTAAAAATTTAAAAATTTTTAAAAAGACTGAAAATCTATAACTTTAATGAATTTCTAATCAAAATTTAAACAGGGTTTCCATAGAAATAGAAAAATGGATTTTAAAATTTATACAGAAATGCAAACACTTTGGAATAATTAATGAAAATTCTAAATAAATGATGAAGACTACTCAAATGAGAACAACCAAAGTCTATTCATTTGGAGCTTGCTATAGTAAGAGAGGCAGCCACTACCACTTGTTTTTGGCAGAAATACAAAGCAGGCAAGGCAGTTGGAATAGCTATAACCATTATAATAGCTAAAATTAAAAAGCCTGAAAATAGCATGCATTGGTGAGGATGTAGAACAAATAGAACTCTTATAACACAGCTGGTAGGAATGTAAAATAGTACAACCACTTGGATATCAGTTTGGTAGTCTCCTAAAAGTTAAACTTAAACTTACTGTACTGCCCAACCATTCTACCTCTAAATAGTTAACAGAATTAAAAATATATTTACACAAAACATCATACATAAATGTCCATAGCCAATTTATTTGTAATTGCTAATCATTAGAGATAATTAAAATGTCTCTCAACAGATGCATAGTGTGAAAGGAAAATAAATCTTGGGGCCCCAAAATCACTAAGCTAAAGGGAAAAGTCAAGATGGGAACTGCAGAAGGCAAACCTGCCTTCCCATTCTATTTAATCACCCTTCTGCTCACTGAGATCAATGTATATCTGATTGCCTCCTTTGGATAGGCTAATCAGAAACTCAAAGAATGCAACCATTTGTCTCTCACCTACCTGTGACCTGGAAGCCCATCCCTGCTTCCAGTTGTCCTGTCTTTCCAGACCGACCCAGTGTTCATCTTGCATATGATGATTGACTTCTCATGTTTCCCTAAAATGCATAAAACCAAGCTGTGCTCTGACCATCTTGGACACATGTTGTTAGGACCTCCTGAGGCTAAGTCGCAGGCACACATCATCAACCTTGGCAAAATAAACTTTCTAAATTAACTGAGACCTGTCTCAGATATTCAGGGTTCACAATAGATAAACAAAATGAGATATTTTCATCCAATAGAACATTCTTCAATAAACAAAACAATCCACACAGATAACAAACAAATTCTGAATTAAAGGATCTGAATTAAAGAATTTACATGGCACATACTCTAAAACTGACCACATAACTGGACATAAAACCATTCTCAGCAAATGCAAAAGAACTGAAATCATACCAAACACTCTCAGGTCACAACACAATAAAAATAGAAGTCAAGACAAAAAAATCACTCAAAACCATGTAATTCCATGGAAATTAAACATGTTCCTGAAAGACTTTTGGGTAAATAATGAAGTTAAGGCAGAAATCACAAAGTTCTTTGAAAATAATGAAACAAAGATACAACATACCAGAATCTCTGGGACACAGCTAAGATGGTGTTAAGAGGGAAATCATAGCACTAAATGCCCACATCAAAAAGTTAGAAAGATCTCAAATTAACCTCAAATTAACAACCTAACTTCACAACTGAAAGAATTAGAAAAGCAAGAACAAATCAACCCCAAAGCTAGCAGAAGATGAAAAAGAACAAAAATCAGAACTGAACTGAAAGAAATCGAGACACAAAAAGTCATTCAAAAGATCAACAAATCTAGGAGTTGGATTTTTCTGAAGAAATGAATAAAATACACATACAAAATGAACTTCTAATTTACAATTACAAGGTAAAGATAGAACAGAGGGGGGAAGAAAGAAAAACAAATTCTGCAAGAAAAAGTAGGTGACTTTATACACAATCTCATGGTAAAGCAGATTCCTTTATCTAAAACTAGAAAATAAAGTGTTCTAAAAACCATTTCTAGCCATGTAAAAGTTCAAACATTTATAGCAAAAGACATAATCTTAGTCCATCCAGGCTGCTATAACAGAATACCAGAGATTGGGTGCTTTATAAACAACAGAAATTTATTTCATACAGTTCTGGAGGCTGGGAAGACAAAGATCATGGCACTGGCAGATTTGGTGTTTGGTAAAGGCCCATGTCCTAGTTCACAGAGGGTCATGTTTTCACTGTGTAATCACATGGTGGAAGGGGTGAAAAAGCTCTCTGGGGCCTCTTTTATAAGGGCACAAATCCCATACTTAATGGGACTTGATACATTCCCAAAGGGCCCATCTTCAAATATCACCACCTTAGAGATCTGGTTTCAACCTAGGAATCTGGAGGGATGCAAACATTCAGTCCATAGCAAACACTATAATCAAATTCCAATGCTGAAAAGTGAAAATGGGTGCCTGCAATGTATTTTTAATCTCTTTTACATTGACAAGAAGGAAAATTTCCAAGAGAAAAGTATATGAGATTGTGAATAGGAATTCACAAAAGGAGAAATCCAAGTAGCCAATAGAATATAGAAAAAGTCTTAAAATCTGTACCAGTCAGGAACATGTGAACAACTAATCCAACAATGAGTTATGATTTTATAAACATTATACTGGCAAAAGACCAATAACAGTTCTTACTAGTAGAGACTTGGGAAGGAAATGTTTATTCTTGCACACTTCTGGTAAAATGTAAATTATTCCTGTTTCTGGAATACATTCTAGAAACATTTATTACAATTAAAAATATATACACTCTTGACTCAGTAATTTTACTCTTGGGAATTTGTTCCATAAAAATAATAGTTTCACTACATAAAGATATATTTTTAATGATGTTTTATGCAACATTGTTTGAAGTGGGGGGGAAAAGGAAGATAAAACAAACACCGAACAAAAAAATCCACCAATTGAAGAAAGGTTGACAAAATTGTAACCATTCACACCATAAAATAGTATGCTGCCATGATAAGTAATCAGTTAGAACTTCAACAAGATTTCACTGATGAAAACGAGATCCAGAAAAGTCTGCATGTCAGTTGAGAATGTGTTTGATTGTAAAGAAAAGAAAACTCACTGATCATGGTTTAAGCAAATTGGGGTTTATTTTGGAAATCCAAAGGTCAGCAGTTGCTGGTATTAATTCAGCCACTGAAGATGCTATCAGGCACTCAGCCTGGTATTTCCATCATGCCACCATTAACATTATAGCTTTTATCCTCACATGTGTCCCATCAAGGTCCAAAGATTATATTGTCATTTCAGGTTTTATTTCCACTTTCCAAGAAGGATCAAGGGACAACAACAACAACAATAACAGTCAAATTTATCCCATTTATTAAGAAAGAAAACTTTCCTAAAAATCCTTGCAACAGATTTCCTCTTGGGTATAGTTGACCAGCACAGGGACATTTGCCTGTCCTACCCCTCAGCACCAAAGATGTTCGCTGTGACTTCAAATGTTAAGCTTTCCAGCCTCTATTAGTAAAGGAAGGGTCAGGAAAAGATATTTTATAATTTGCATATATTGTAAAAATATATTTGTATACTATAATCTTATTTTTATAAATCAATGACAAAATTCTATGAATATGCATATGTATTTTTATCTATGATTATATGAGCTTGAAGGAAAATATAGACATATACACACTAAGCCTTTATGTGGATTTCCTCAAGATAGGTAATATGGATAGAGAAGGCATGAAGAGAGAAAGCAAGCCAAAAAAAATTGTTAACTATGATGTGATCTTATGCATGCATTTAAATAAGATATATATATAAATATTTATACATATTTAAAAAATGTTTCCAATGTATCTTTAAAGACAGTAATTTACATCACAGTATGCATAATGAGGAATATTTCATTTGTTATAAAATACATAAACTTATATGTGCCTGGAAAAATAATATCCAACATTCATTGAGCTCTTACTTTGTGCCATACATATTTATACAAATGACTTACCTATTTTAATCCTCTCAACAATGCTATAAGCAACTGGTGTTATCCCCACTTCAGAGATATGAAAACTAAGGCTTAAAGGAGTTCAGTGGCTCACCCAAATAACACAAAAGGTGAGTCAAAGAACATACATAATATTAACATCGCTCACCTCTGGAAGTGGAATAAGGATAGGTTTGGGGAAAGAGGAAGAGAGGTATACACTTTTCCCTTTATTTATATAGAACATTCTCACTATTTTTTGATGAGTTTGTGTTTTATAAACAAGTTGAGATTTTAAAAAAAATTGCAGCCAATTTTATCCCATTTATTAGGACCTACACTTAACCATAGAAGTGAGGAAAGTTTATTTCCTTTTCTATACCATTTCTATATTTAAATTTATTTTCTCCACTTACTTCCCTATATCATTTTTTCTTTACTTTTATTTCTGCCTCCTAATAAAATTGTTTAGTCTCCTCAATATTTC